GCATTTTGTCCGTCATAAGTATAAATAATTAAAAGGAGAAACACTACCATATAATGTTGAAATCTACCTTTACTTAACATTATCACGCAAAATAATCTTAGCTCTAATATGTTATGCAATAGATTTAAGTTCCAGAATTTATCTTTTATTGTAGTTCTCCTTTCTTGTAAATATCTTTTAAGTATATATATATATATCTTACTTATATATTTTAATTTAAAACCATCTAGAAAATATGTATGTTTATTTTTAAGATAAGGATAGCATTATGAGACAGTTCTGGCAACTTATTTTTTCCCTCATGCTACGAGTCGCGTCCGCTTCGATTATCTTGGTTCCGTTCCCGCTAGTCTATCGTCCTTGGTATTCCGGAATATACAATAAAAATGCTCAATGGGCACCAGTCAGAATGAAGAATTTAAATGGCCATGGCAATACAGCTTTCCCCCTTTCTTTACTCTCCAACCTAATGAAGAGACTCGTAAAAAGCAGCTCGACGCATGGTGCCATCTAGTTGTTTCTTATTTCCAACATAAAAAACAGACTAGTATGAGTATCTCGACTTTATACGATCAATCATTTCCTCTTTTTCACAACAAACAAATTAATCGTTGGGCTAATGAAGCTTTTATAGCTATTATTTTGGATAATTTGAAAAGGAGAGGAAATCTGGAATGGACAGATAAGTATGTTTCGTCATGCCTTATCCATTTTCTCGGCCCGCACAATTTTACGCGTTTTTATTTTTAGGTCTCACAAGCACGCACGTATTTCATGGCGGACATCGTCTGAATGGGCTGATCTTATCTATAAATGGGCCCGAAATACAGGTCGAGCATCCTCAGTCTGTACAATCTATGAAATTACTGATGGAAGTGAAACAGAAAATGAGGATTTTCACGAGTTAGACGAATCGGTTATTTTGGATGCACTATCCATCCTTCAAAAGCGAGGAAAAGCTGAAATTATGGATGGCGGTGTAAAGTTCTTTTGAGATTGATACTAGCAATTTATTCCTTATTCATCGCTCTGTATATTCTATATTTGTATGTTTTCACATCCACTTATTCAGGAGTAAACCTTGTATCATTTCTGAATCGTTCTAACTGTTATATTTCATTGGGTGTTTTATATATACATTTACCTCAGGTTTTTAATACTGTTAGCCTCATGAACAATAACTCTTGATTACGCTTGCATATGTAGGTGGCATTCCAGTCTCTTCTAAAGTGGTATCTGAAGTTTTTTTTAATTTTTCTTTAGCTCTTAGCTACTTTTCATCGTACTATATTGCGTCGTGTGCTGCGCATACGGTAGCTCTGACTGCACATTTTTAATTTCATATGAGCTCTAGAGATTATCCGAATTATTCTAGCTTTACCGAGGCAAATTTGTTCTTCTATTCAGGGATGGGCCGCATTCCTTGCAAATAAATCTACATGCTTTATTGCTTATATACAAGGAGTGACTGGGCTTCTATGAGTCTCCTATTATAATATTTCTGTCGAGACTTTCATTCCTTATGAAAATGCATGAGGAAATTCGTTATATGATATTATGGAAGATGGCGACTGAAAACCGTTCTGTAGCTTTTTGGCTTTGATATGAACCTCGGGCTGACGCAGTCCACAAGATATCGTTTTGGTTTTGGGAGAAACTTGCTGTATGCCAGCCTTCCTCAGCTGATATAAGCCAAGGGTAGCCAGTGACCAAAAATATTTTCAAATTGCAAGTTTTGACGGGCCAACCTAACGTTGGGTTCGTTTCCGAAAGCTTATATTTCAAATGACTGGGCGACTTTTCATAGATATTTCCAGCCACGTACAACGTGGCTGGTTATTTGTATCTTATAAACTGGACTGAATGGAGATTTTATCTAGGTCAAGGTACAGCTTGCTGACAGTAATTATTATTCTTTCTTTCGGCTTATTATGGCTGGAATTTTTAATGATACAATTATTAAAAGGAGTACCTAGATGTCACAGGGATGGATTAATTTAACCTTAAGTCTTGATTCTATAAACTAATTTCAATCTTTCCAACCAAAATGTGTTCTGAAAAGCTGGGTTTTATGCTCGCCCACCCCGGAGATAAACGTTGACCGACGTTAGCTATCATGATACATCGAAACATTAAGGGCTCTTATAGTGGCTGCTCCGAAGCGGTTGTGGGTCCTAAGCCAAAGTAGAAGAACAAGGCTATCAAAGTTCGAAAATCGAATATTTATAATTTAGCAAAAAAAGAATATTAACCTACAATATGCCTTTTAGTCAAAATTTATTAAAGATACCAGAAAGACGTAAAGCTACTTTGAGTGCTAACACCTTACAAGTTAATGAAATCCAACCTTACGCTAAAAACACTTACCCTGCATACCTAATTTGCTGATTGTGCTCTGGAAAAAACTATATCGGTCATTGAGTGCACCCCAATACATATATATACACGCCTTTATACTCCCGATATATTTACAAAAATAAGGTATTCCCAAGATTTGAAATCAATTTATTATATTCTTTAAGTCGGGGTTCGTGTATGATTGCCATTTTATCTCATTTTAAAAATATTCATGCAAATATTATATTGACTAAATACT